TTTCTATTGTGGTTAATAACTACAGTATAAATATGGTCCATGGTCCAAAAATGATCAAGCATGAAAGGACCCACAAACACTCTGCAGGTTTTAGACGGTGTTTTCCTTTCATCGGTAGGGTTGGATGTTACTCCTTGCGGTCATTCTACTTTACGTCAGCTCTGCTTGAACTCTTTGAACCCCATCACCTCCAGATCCGAAAAGACTGGCCACACCACCGCACTTTCGACTCAGACAGCGCGTCCAGCCAGCACGGTTTCGAGCACGAAACAACTCGCCCGCGATGTATGGAAAATCCATGTCAAAATCATGGAAACCGTTGAAAATCCTGCTAGCAGACTTGCATCATCTACCTGGTGGCCCAATCATTTGCACCACTGAACCGACCCAAAAGGGTGAACACAGCGATGAAAACCAGCAAGGGGATCCTTTGCACCACATGTGCCTTTACGACCAAAAGCGACCAAGGCCTCCACGGCCTCCCCCTTCTCTGGCAGCGAAATCCGCGAAGTAAGGAAGGGCCTATTAACATCTGACCCCCACTCTTTCCGGTTCTGCACATTATGGAGCCCTGCACTTTGATGGGCTGCATGAGCGGGCAGCACCCTTGATCTGGTCAAGCCAATGTGATGAAGCACAAATCCTCCAACAACAGTGATTCATCACAATACGAAAGTTATCAAAAGTTGTAAACACCTGTTCACAATTCAAGAAGCGCCAGTTTTTAAGCCAGCATAATGCACTTGCGATTATTGAACTCGCTCATTGTGGGATGAACCATCCCTCAAGCTTCCCACCCACACGTGACCGGTGGAGCTTAGTCGTCTATGCGTCGATCCAGTGACCAATCGCAGCGCAGTGGTGAACAGAGGGGTCGGTCGGTTTGGTACCATTGACCTATTGGTTGTACTCTTGGGGGTGTCGACCCCTATTAATCAACCAACCAATAGTAAAAGGCCTATGTCGCAGGCGACCCATCGCAGCGAGCACACGGCTGAAAAATAAACGATGTTTCGGCGGGCGACCGGACGGCTCGGCTTGCTCTCAGCCAGCTAAACGGTGCACTTCAAAGGAAACCAGTCACGTTTGCAAATACAACATCCACACATCTCGTCATCCCTTTCAGACTCCAACCCGGATGCTCCCCCACTCAACGGCCACGGCCTTCGCAGCGGCTTCGGTTTGCAACGGTTTTCTCCACCCCTCCGCCGGTCGGTCACCTGGGGCGTTTTGGGAGAAAAATGGGCTTCTCGGAGACTTTCCACTTTCACTGCACCAGGTACCCACAATGGCTTGGTCTGTCTCTTGTACTGTCCGTATGCAGTGTGTGTTTGCTCAGGCCTCCAGGGTAACGTAGTAATAAGCACCCCGCCATTTGTCATGAACCACAAGGACAGTGAGGACGGTGCCCGTGGCTTGTCGAGTGGTGGCGGCGGGGGCACCTGTGTGGAGAGCTTCAGAGCGTGAAGCTGGGATGGGAAGTTGAAGATGGGATCAGGTCCAACTGCATGTGTAAAATAAGAAACTACATGCTAACAGCTGCTTAAGCTGTCAGTACCCAGGGGCGGGGGAAGGTCGACCACATCCAAAAGCCAGAGACTCCTCAAGCCTCAGCCTCTTCAAGCGTTTCGCTGCTAATTCCGTTTGTGCCACTTCCCTTGTGCCAGAAGCGAGGCCTATCGCTGAAAGGCGCTGCAGCCTACAAGGCGAAGCAGGTTCGATGGGTGGGGCATGGGATCAGCAAGGCGGGTGTTCCAACAAGGTTCGTTGAAAGCTCTGTGAACACAGCTCATTCAGCTCATGAATGAGACCATCCCAGAGCCTCATTAGTGAGCTCATTCAGCTCAGTGAACATAACTAATACTCCCTTGGTTTAATGTGAGAAGCCTATCCCAGCTCATTCACCTCCTTCACTGTGTTCAACTCGTTCAGCTCTGCTGCCCTCCTGTCAGGTCTCACCCTGGCACTCTTAGTATTCTTGTGACAGACCTCTTTCAATGGCAAATCATTGTCCAAGAATAGTAGATCCCCCCATTTGTTGTCTTCCTTTCTGCTTCGGTGTTTCTCTATAAAAACACTTCTTCGGTCTTCGAAGCTTCCTCTTGGAGGTGAAAGGCACAAATCGCTTTGGCATTCAGCTGCCCCGGGGCCGCAGAACACGAAACTCTACTCATGCGAGAGCGGTGTTACTCAGGGAAGCTCGCTGGCAGTTTTGATAACAACATCTCAAACCGGGGTGGTTGAATGAGTTACTTGCCCGTGTCATGCACGACTGGATGATTGGCACAAGAGTGGTTTTCAGTTGTCAGCACTAAGTGGGCACGGCGTTACGAACCGGTTGCCTCAGCTGTGTTGGGGGCCTGAAATGTGCCCTACCACGGCTTGAAGGACCCTGGCCTGAATCCACAAGGCCAGGCGTCAGGCGTCAGCACCACCACCCAAATGGAGATTCCTGACACTGGACGTGGTGGATAAGAATCTTCCATCCAACACACCGTGAGAATCGCTTGCCAACTGCCAGTGGCCTGCCAGCATCAAACCATGAGATCACACACTTTTCCACTGAATCTGTGCGCTACGGCAACAGCAGTCGAGTCATCTCTTCCAGATTCGAGCTTCTCCCTTCCTTTTGGAATCTTCGACTCCGGAGCTTTGCTCCCAGTCTCAACAAAACATCTCTTACCTCTGCTGTACATGCCCAATGTTGGCAGCGGGTCAAGTGTTGTGCAGGAGGAGGAGGAGGAGGAGGAGGAGGAGGAGCTCAGCGCAGCCTTTGGAGCGGACCTAAAGCATGTCTTTGCATTAAGGATCCATGCGATGTCCGATGATTGGCGTAGTTGGCTCGAACTTCGGTTGTGCTTGTTTCGCTCCTGCCTTTGGGGGCTGACCTGGCTGCGTTTGTGCGATGCATCAACCTCAGGGGAGAAGGGAGAAGCATCAAATGCATCAACACTCATTCTTCTCTCTAAGTGAACTTCATGACGACCAGCCTCATCTGTGGTTTGGCCATCGTCACGCGTGGTTTGGCCATCCCGGACTTCGCATTCATGGCTGTCAAGCAACTCCACAGGCTCCACGAGGCTCTCAGGAAGGCGTTCGTAGTGCGCAGCCTCTTCGCGCTTCTCTTCATCTGCCACTCCGGTCTTATCCAAGCGATCCAGCTGCCCCAAAGCCGCTGGCCAGCCAAGGGTAGTCGTGGCCAGCTCACCACGGGCTCACAGCGAATCTTGTCAGCGGGCATACATCGTTTCTTGACCTAAGAAAAATGTTCAAATACTCAAACCAGAAGCTGAAAGTAAAGGCCCAGACTAAACAATACTGTGGTGCAGGACACATGTTTGTGGCACAGTACCGTTTGTGGCACAATAACTTCGAAGTTATATATTCAGCTATGCTGCAGTGCTGTTCAAGAAAAACAGAATGTCCAATCTTTTCCAGGTGGCCCACCAACGATAGTAGTCACGTGCAGGTGAGTGCATGAAGATGCCCACGCCCCATGCCACTACCTCCCATGTCCTGAATTGGTCGTTTGTCGTTCGTAATTCCAAACCATCAGCACCACACAATGCATGTCTGTTGCCACCCACTGGAACCAGTTCATAAGGGTGCCCGCTGTTTCAGTACACTCGGAAGTTGTTGCGCGACAAGTAGTTGCTCAGCGTGTAAAGGCCACATGCCGCGCTCAACTGGCAAATGGTTCCAACGCTGCTTTCTTTCAGAAAGCTAGGCACCGCCAAACGCACTGGGCTGCCTGGCTCAAGCTCTTTGACGCCAATGATTTGGTGAAGCCAGCTTCTCAGCCGACAAAGTGGCACAAAACGTAGAGAACTCGTCCCCAACTGTTTGCAAATGCCGCGCAGCCACCCCAGGTCACCGAAGAAATGAACAGAACCCGCGCCACAAACAGCTTGTTAGGAGTCTAGTGTCTGGTACATGGCACCGCTCTGCAAAATCTGCTTTCCGGATTATATAGGTGTTTGTTTACACTGCTGAAAGCACGTTCTCAAGAATTCGACTGTCCATTGTGCAGGATGCTTGCTGACATGGCCGTTCAATCTTCCACTTCGAAAACAGAAAGAAGGACCACGGCCCCACGGCAACGTGTCTTCTATGGCTGGCCCGCTGGACCTTGCTGGAGAAGCTGCCGGTCATGTCAAACCTTGCTGCCCAAGGCGATACATGTCAAACCCTTGCAGCTCTACAGCTTTCAGAGTATATCAATCACTCAAACTGCATTGCGCTTGTGGCCGCCTTATGGAGTCCACACGGCGGCCGGTACGGGTTCTCTGGAATCTCCAACTGCTTTGCAAGCTGAGAGGCTGAGAGGCTTCGCCACATCATACATATCTTTGACGCGCAAAGGAACAAACACAAGGCATTCTTAGGGTCACCCTGATCAGCCAGCCTCTCAAGCTGTTGGGCTTTGAAGCATCTCTTCTTGAGCACACTCCGTCGCTTGCAGCCCACCCTTGCGCGAACATGCTGCATCGGGTCGCTTCCTTGCTCAGCGAAAGCTTGCTTGAAGCCATCTACGTTTTGCTGAAGGTTGCTTTCAACCCCGTTGCGCTTCACTTGCGCATGTGTGGCATTGCAGCTGCAAGGTCGTTGGCAGCCGATAAAGCGGTGCCAACACTTTCAAGAGCCACAACTTCTGAAGTCAGCTGGGCACCACCCGTGGGGTCGAAGGATGCCACAGCCACTGGGAAGAATTTATCGCGTGCATCAAGACTGGCGCCAGCTGTCGCGCATGACGCACGCCGTACAGAGAATGACCACCTTCAGTTCGCACGCTTGCCCAACTTCCACGGCACATGAACTTTGTAGTTAGCCTCCATCGCAAAGACTTCAACCCAGCTTGCAGCATCACGAGATACTTCACAGCAAAGGATGAACACGTGAATTCGAAGCCTGCGACTGAGACTGACATTTCCAAATTGATTGTCAGCGAAACAGGCTCTGGTTCATCAAGCTTTGACACCCAAAACGTGGCAGCCAGCCCATCAACTGCGGGTAGCACCAATCACGGCCACTGAGGATTTGGGGCCTTGACGCGCGGGATGCCCCCAATGTGCACACCGCGCGGTGCACAAATCTCTGAAAGCACGACATCTGAGCACTGAGCACCCTGTGAAAACCTGGTCGTCCTGATCGATCTGTCTGGGCTGTCTGGGCAACACACGACACAATCCGCAACTCAACAAACGCAACTTGCGCACAGTCGGCCATCCACCGGACACAACAAAAACTACCGCGAGTCGACACCTGCGGAACAATGCAGACGCCAGGCGACGATGCTGCTGCTTCGCCAGCTCGTCACTTCGGCTTGTGCTCTGGTGCTTTCGGAGGCTTGACGACTTGGCGGCAGCAACGGCAAAAGAAAGAAAATGCTTGATCATCAAACCCATGGGTGGACTACTGCCACAATCAGTGTCTAAGCAGGCCGGAAACATTTGAGGAGAGAAAGCAGTCAGGCTGAAACAAGTTTGACTCAAATCACAGGAATCAATCACTGCAAAGAACAACATAGATGCATCATTAACTAAAACACCAATTTTTATTACCTCTTTTTTTCCTTTATTCTGGGTGTCCACCTCAGTCCAGTCAGCATTGCCTTGATGTAGGGTCCAAGATCAGCCAAGGCGAGGCCTTGGAACAACAACTACTTTCTTCCTGCCATCCTCCCATGCTCTCCTGCACCGTCCTAATAACTATAATAAATTCAGTCTTCTTTGTGGCTTACACTCATTTTGACAGGCCCAAATGAATCTGAACTGCACAGAAGTCAGTTCAGCGGCGCAAGTCAGTTCGCGGCTCGTCTATGTGGATAGTCACTCCAGCAGCCGCTTAAGAACAGCTCTGAGAAAAGGGCCTGAGCCAGTGATTGTCTCATTCGTCTGACAGTGGCTGGCTATTTGGGAAGTTCACTCACATGTAGAACACGAGCAAATCCTCTGCAAATCAACTTGACTTGGGCTCAGCTACACAGCGGCTAGTTCATCAAGACCTTTCCAAGCAACTCTTCACCGCAGGCACACATCTGACAAAATTGAGGGCGATCGAAGTTGAAGCACCTTCTAAAACGTCGACAATATGTATTCAAGCATCGTCTCAAACGTCTACTTGGTCGCTTCTACTGACTTGCCAACTTTGGTGAGCTGCAGGGAGCCTGTCTAACTACAGGGTCCACAGGGTGTAGATGGCCGTGGGGGTTTTCTCATGATGGAGAACTTCAAGACGTCGTAAACCTTTGGCCTGACTGTGGTTTTCTTACCTACCTGGGAATTTGTAGTGCTGAAGCCGCAACCTGCGCGTTCATCTGCTTTGACAGGACCTGTCCGTGCATGTGAAGCTCCGCGTTCTTGATCAATAAAGCAAAGTCTCCGAACCACAGAAAACAATCCGATTAATCCTATCCAATCCTCCGTGTTGCAGAAGAAGTATTGGTTTCTCAGATGTCCCATCTCCATTTGTCGCTGTAGCATGTACCCACGATGGTTTGGTCTCTTGTACTGTCCGTATCCAGTGTGTGTTTGCTCAAATGGTATATTCCAATGTTTTGGCCTCAGGGGTAAAAAAGAACACTAAGCCAAGAAAACGTTCAATGGTTGTGGTTGGGGTTCTCACTTTGTTCCGCGATTGCCGCATTGGCCGCATTCGCCGCACTCCACCCAAAGGGATGATAGTCGATAGCATGAGTATGTTACAAACATGTGTTTTCCGATGTTTTACGTAAATTAAGGGTGAATGTCTGAGCAAACCAAACCGTTTCTTTTCTCTCGGGCCCAAACTTTGGGCCCAGACCCTCGGGTTTGATCTCTTTTCCAAGGGTGAATGTCTTTACTGTACATGTTTGTACATGAATTCGTCCCAAGGAACCCAATGCTTCGACGGAACGGACCCTTCGTCTTCTCCAGGCCGCCGGACAGCCCGGACCTGTAGTTTGGACAGTGGGATGCAGAAGCATCAAGATGGGCGCCCCAAACATGAACATGGTAAAGCCAAACAAACCTCCAGGACCTGCGAAGTACCAACTAGGAAAGCTCTAAAGCCTCGAAAGTACCCCCCAAAAAAGTAGCCCCAACGCATGCCTTCTCCTGGATCTGCGTCGTTTTGCGCAAACAACTGAGTGGAACTGTCCAACCCACAAGAACATCATGACCCAGCCAGTGTGCCACTGCAAAGAGAAAGTAATTTAAATGGCAACAGATCAACAGGACAACAGAACATGCAGTTATCGCAGTATTTTCATACATCATGCAGCATGATCCGGTCAAAGTACAGACTGATACTCCATCAAACCCCGTGCAGCTACACTTCACTGTCGTAGCACTCTATAAAGCCGACAGATTGGTTCATCTTTCTTCAATCCGTAGCCTGGAACAAAGGAGCAAGACACCTTGGAAACGCCCGCTTCACGCATGTTGCCTGAGGGAGGCCGTTGAGCACATTGAGTCGCAGAGCCCGTTTGAGCCTTATGACTTGGTGCAAAACAGGATGCACCAGGCAGGGCACGCTTGAACGGTTTGGCGGAAAGGTCGTGTGTGTCCCCTAGCGTGCCGTAAAAGCTGTCCAAGCCATTTGAGCACTTATGCACTTGTCCAACGGCACCGACAAGCTGCAAAGCCGATCGCTTGGTGGAAAAACGTCCATCTGTGAATTGACGCGTCATGAACTTGACACCGTCTTTGCCCTGTTTAAGCGTCTCGAGCGTCTGAAACGACAGCACTGGGTGCCAAGCGCAGGGAAGCTGATCTGACTTCACATCCTTGGAAGCCAGGGAGATAACAAACTACACGGTAGTCGTAAAGATGGGGTCTGGTGTGGCATGAATGAATATGATTCCCTGTGCACAGCTGCCTCTCGTAAATGACTTGCTTCAAACTGCCAAAGAGGTGCATTCATTTACTCTGCATGCGCAATGAAACTAGTCTGGATGGAACTAACAGTACTGACCACTTCGGAATACTGCCTGCTTTGCAGTCCAGTTCCGCAATGGAGCCACTCCAAACCATGGAGTTCTAGACCGAGCCGTTCTTCCACGATGCACACTAGAATGTGTATTTTCACATTATATAGACACCGACCCTAGCCAGTTCTATGCCAAGTGTGAGCAGAGGGAAAGCAACCGCAAAGGCAGCATCGACTTCGCATGTCCCGAAGAAGTTGCAGTCGACCACTTGCTCTCGCCAGTCGTCAGCTGCATCTTTGGGTGAATACTTACATGTCGGCTTTGGACACGTTCTTCCCTTTTCAATGTAGTAGCCCTCATATTTGACCAACTTCATGCTCTCACTCGTCTGTCTCCACTCGGCGGTCAGCTCCCTTCCCCACGCACAGCCTACTCTCGATTCCCCGGCAATGCCCGGGATGACGAACGAGACCTCTTCCCCCGTCGTGCCCTCCCTTCCGCTTCCGCTGCAGAACTCCTGCGACAACGACACGGATGCATCTACTCCTATGATTTTTATCCCTCCGGAGACTGCCTGCTCTGAGCCCAAACAGAACTCCGTATCTCGGGTGTCTGAGATGCTCTTGGTGAATGCGATACTGGTGCATTCATCCATGTCATCTGGAGCGTAACAAGACTCTCCAACTTGGTGAAAGCACACAAGTTCCTTGGCAGCACAGCTTCCTTCAAGGCCATTCGGACCCATTGTGATGCTTCCCTCAAACAGGAAATCTGGGCCGCATTCACATTCGTTTGTCTTTGCATTGAAGCTGGCATGTGTGATGTCCTCGCAGTCTGACTTCAACTTCTCCATTGGCACGTCACAGCAGGTATATAGACTGGAGCCGATTATGGCGTCCGCATCAGGCTTGATTGTGCCAATCTCACAGTTGAAAGTGATACAGGTTAAGTCACAACAAATGTCAGCTGCACTGCCTCTTATGTAAGCAGCATTTCCCTTCAGACTCTGGCCCAAAGGGCAAGTGAATGCGCTGCAAAGCACATCGCAGCAAGTGTCATGGCTGGAGCCTGCAATGCCAGCTGCTGTTGCCTTGAGCGTATAGTCAACTGGGCAAGTAAAGGCCGCGCAAGACACATCACAACAAGTGTCTTGGTTGAAGCCAACGAGCAGAGCTGTGTTTGCTTTGAGGATGTAGTTCGTAGGGCAGGAGAATGCTCTGCAAAGAACATCGCAGCAAGTATCGTGGCCGGAGCCGGCGAGTGTAGCTGCCTTTGCTTTCAGGATATAATTTGCAGGGCACGTGAAGGCACTGCATGCTAGATCACAGCAGGTGCTGGTACTGGAGCCAGCGATGCTGGCCGCATTGGTCTTCAGCACGTAGTCAGCTGGGCACGTGAAGGCACTGCAGAATGCATCACAGCAGG